TCTCTCTCTCTCTCTCTCTCTCTCTTACATTCATACACACGCGCGCGCACGCACGCACAAATACATCACACTCACCCAGACCCACACGTGCATACATACACGTCATGAGTCTTAATAGCAGTCATGTACCAATACACTGTACCATTAAGTTGGGAGGGTAAGAACATTGGCTGCGCCATTGCCCATATTTTGACAGCTTCATATGTTCTTTGAAGTGAGCCGATGCTCCGTATCATAGTGGTCGACATTCCACCTCACCAAAGCCTACTGTTTATAGTATAGAATAATACAGAAGGCGTTGCACCCCACCCACCAGCTGGGAGACTTGAAGGAAGGTATGGCTCTTGGCGAGACGGTGTGAAATTGAAATGGGCTCCTGTCTAGACGGTCAGAGAAGAACGTATAGGCTCCTGTACAAGTTGTAGGCTACCAAAGACTTGAGGCTACTTAGCATAGTCTATGTTTGGCCCAAGCAGGAGATAGATCAGGAAGGGTGCACTGAAATTATAGACCAGCAGTCTCGGTGTATACACTGGGGTTTTTTTTTTAATACAATGTAAGTTGTTGTTTTTTTAATTGTCAGACAATGTATAGCAACGAATGTTACTGTTAGAGTAAAATGTTGCTGTTAAAGGGGGGTTTAGGAAAAATTCTGTAACACAAGCTAAAGTTGCTGTTAAGGGACTCATCATAGCCTCTACGCGTTAAAAAAAAAAGACCGATGTCGGGTGACTAGCACCAGGCTACTCGCCCGATCTAGGGTGGCTAGCGTCAGGCTAGTCGACCGAATTTGGTCGAGTAGCCGGACGCTACTGGCCCATGGGGATTTCTGCGACCTCGGGTAGCTAGTATTTTCTGCCCACCTGGAGCCGGTCACCTAGATTTAGTCTTAGTCTTACATGTATAACGGGTGCCCACTTCGGCTGGATCGGGCCGAACGCCCGACTCAATCGCCTGAAACTGAAAACGATCAAATTCGTTTCTGAGGCGACCGAGTCGGGCAATCCCACCCGTAGTGGGCACTCCGCATTAGGTAGCGTAAACACGGCCTTGCGGCCTTCCGAGCGACATGAAGCTATTGAAAGTAAGCACCTGGCACACCTCTGTGATTGGCCCAAAATAGATCATAGATGATGTTTTTCCGCCATCTATTTTTGTCGTCTTCCGAGTTTTCCTCACGAGTTGACTACATTGTTGTAGATGCCCCTGACGCCTGTGTCAAGTGTTTTGTACACCATGCAACCTCCATGTAGTTTTTTGTTTTTTTTCTTTCTTTTTGGTAGATCAAGTCATTCACATTTAACTTTCGATTTTGATCTAACAAAACTAATGTTGGTTACTTTGATTGCAAAGAGCATGCTAACATTGTATTCAAAGAATTCCAAGACTTTTTTTTAGCTCTACGCGTCTTGCAACTTTTCTTGCACCTTTTTGCAACTTTTGCTATTTTCAAATGCAGCTTTCTCTGAGGACTGCTGTGACAGAAGACTGAGTTTGATTCCCGTGTGTGTAGGTTTTTTTGGTTGTTTTTTGTTGTTCATCGGGTAGGGGCCTACGGTCGCCCGTCAGCTTGGACGCCGTCAGAAGCAAAACTGCACATCACGTAAACCGCGTCCATCGTCTGTATAACAGGTGCACCGTCACCGCCCGCCCGGGCCAGCTAATTATCGAAACTGATCGTAGCGATTTAACAAATAGGGAAGACTGATTTGAAGACACAGAGAACATGACAGACAGGGAAGACTGATTAGAAAACAGAGAACAAACACATTTTGCGACCGATTTTAACTTTTATTTCCGGCCGTACTGCCGGTTTCACGTAGATCTAGGTTACAATCCACTGGCGCGCCTCTGCAAAAGCAGTGCGGCGACCGCCGGGATTTAGGCCTACAATTCACATTTTCTATTTTCTACGTAGCGCCTGGTAGTGCGTAGTACCGTGTTGGCCGCTCGGTTCAAACCAGAAAGCGGGCCGTTGCCCGAGCGGTCGTTTTCCCGGCCACCCTCCTGGCTTGAGCAGAGCGTTACACCCTTGCGCCGCTTTGAGGCCCGGTACTTCCGACTTCCGCAA